ACGGGACTGGAAGAGATTATGCTGAGTGAAATAAGTCAAGCAGAGAGAGTCAAGCATCATATGGTTTCACTTATTTGTGGAGCATAACAAATAGCATGGAGGACAAGGGGAGTTAGAGAGGAGGAGGGAGTTGGGGGAAATTGGAAGGGGAGGTGAACCATGAGAGACTATGGACTCTGAAAAACAACCTGAGGGTTTTGAAGGGGCGGGGGGTAGGAGGTTGGGGGAACCAGGTGGTGGGTATTGGAGAGGGCACGGATTGCATGGAGCACTGGGTGTGGTGCAAATACAAGGAATACTGTTATGCTGGGGAAAAAAAAAAAAGTCAGTGTAGCGAGGGCTCACGTCCCCTCTAGCCCCTCCTCAGGGATTTGCACTGGCTGTTCCTGGCACCGGAAATGCCCTTCCCTGAGACACCCACGGGGCTCTTTCCCTTCAGTTCCTAACTCAGACGTCACTTCTCAATGAGGCCTTCCCTGACCCCCATTTAAAATTGTCCCCCCCAGCATTCTCCTGTGCTCCCCAGCACTATCACCACCTACCATGTTAATGGATTTTGTTTGTGCGATGTCCCCTCTGTGGCAGGGACTTTCCTCTGTTTTGTGTGCTGCTATTTCCCCAGCGTCTAGAACAATCCTGGGCACACAGCAGGTGCTCAGAAAATATCTGTTCCCTAAATTCATCAGCCAGGGTCAGAATCATTGCCACAGGTGACCACAGAAGTTGTGACTCCTCCGCTTTCACGGGACGAGATGGAACTAAGGGGACTCATTTATTCACTGGACAGGCTCTCTGGTTGCCACTAGGAATCAGCATTCCCGCTCGGCGAGCTTGTAGCACAGTGGGAGGAGGGGGACAGGGGAATAAGGAAATAAAGGATTTCTTCTGTCGGAGAGGGAAGCATGCAAAGGAGAAAATCAGAGGGGAAGAAGACAGGAGATAGCATACTGGTCTGCTCCAGGCCACTCAAACAAAGTTCCACAGACGGCGGGCTTCAACAGCAGAAGTTGATTTCTCACAGTTCCTGAAGCTGGAGGTCCGAGAACACAGCGCTGGCAAGTCGGGGTCTCCGAAGGCCTCTTTCCTTGGTCTGTAGGCGACCAGCCGTCTTTTCCCTGTGGCTTTATGCAGTCTTCCCTCTGCGCCTGTCTGTATCCTGAACTCTGCTTCTTATAGGGTCACAGATTGGATTAGGGTCCATCTGCGTGACCTCATTTCAGCCCAATCGCCTCTTTATGGGGCCTGACCCTAAACACAGTCACATGCTGAGTGTGAATTTGGAGAGACACAATTTAGCCCATAAGCGGATGTGAGGTGGGTGGAGGAAATTGAGACAGAGACTGGCCGACGCTTTCAGGACGCCTCCAGGGGCCACCCCACTCTGGAGGTCCTGGGGGGTCAGCAAGGCCAACAGAGCAGCTTGACTTCATTCTCTCTTCTCCTGGCATGAGAGCCCCCCCACCCAGTCCACCTCCCACTTGCAGCTCCCCATGAGCTCCAAGTCTGTGTCAGAGAGAACCAAACCTCAGTCCATGGGGAAACTAACACTGGTCAGACCCTGGATATATTTTTAAGGCATTGCTGACAGAATTGAGACATTCTCGTCCTTTGGCAAAGAACCCAAGAGAAGACCAGCTGAGGTTGTCCCCAGTTTTAGGATCCCAAGATCTCCTCAAGCCCAGGAGACTTGGAACACACCTTCTAGAGACAACTGTGCCACAGCAAATGTTCTGGGCCTTTCTCGCTTTCCTCAGTTCCCATTCCCAACCCCCTTTTTTGCTTATTGGGGGTTCAGCCGGGGCCATGTCTTTGAAAGGATGATGTCTCTTACCCTCCTTCTCGACTCTGCCCTCCCACTGTCCTATCTCTCCCTACGAAGGGCCCTGCCCTGGGGCCTGACGGTCCTACTCATCTCTGGAGGTAAGGGATGCATCCTCTCCACACGGGCTCTAATTCCCCACCCCCTCCTGTCTGCTGCCTGCAAAGGCCTGGCCCATCTCAGAAAGCCTCTACTTTCCCCTCGGGCTGCATCGTATCTGTGTTTCTCGCAGCCGAGCTCCTAGAGCCTGCCCACCACCCTTCCTGTTTGCATTTCTTCCTTAATTCTTTGCAAGCTGACTTTTTCCCAGCCCTCTAATGAAACTAAGCACTTGAAGGTCATCAAACCAAGGATCTCTTCTGAGTCCTCATTCTTGAATTTTTTTTTTTTAAGTTTTTTAACTTTAAAAAGTTAACTGGGGCTTGGACAAATGACCCTGAGATCAAAAGTCAGATGCTTTACCGAATGAGCCACCCAGGCGCCCCTGAGTCCCTCTTCATACAGACCCTTCTGAGGTTTACAACCACTGGCCACTCCCTCCTTCCTTGGGCTTCTCTAATCTCTCGGGCTGCTGCTCTGGGGCTTTCCTCTGTCCCTCCCAGGCTCAGAAGCTCGTCTCCACTGCCCTGCAGAGACAGCCTCCCCACCACCTCCACTGCTCCTGTCTGGCCTTTTCTACTGGCTGACCTTGCTCATCTTAACTCAGCTCAACCCCAACCACACCCACCAGCCCCCTCCCTGGTTCTCCTGTCTCTGTCTCTGTCCCATTCTCTAAATACTGGCTTCCTTTCTGACTCCTCGCTGTCCTTTTCGCCTCTCATGCAATCAGGCCCCACAGACACAGCCGTTCATTTCTTCCAAAGCTCTCCCCTCTTACTCGCTCTGCTTTGAGATTTCCCTGGACTCCAGACTCCCCAGGTCCCGCTTGCCTTCCCCCAGCACAGCCAGCATGAATTTGCTGCGGGGGGTGGGGGAGGACCCCTGGCCCAGCAAGGCAGTGTGCACGTGTCTGCCACCCCTGTGGACAGTTCACTCCAAACCTGAGGGGAGTGACCTGAAAACCCAGCAGGCTCCTGGCTCATTCAGCCACTTGTCAGAGATGAGCGAGGTCAACCTTAGCGGCCACTACGGTTCACTGAGTCTAAGACGCACACGGTACCATTGCTGCAGTCTGGGCACAGCCAACAATTTACACAGGCAAGCAGGCAGCATTGCTCCTTTCTTAGCGGTTCCTAAAACCGTAGTTTGTCTTACCCCGATCATGTTTTAGATTCTATAAGCTGTAAAACTCAGGTGCTGGTCTTCACTGTGGGAAAGTTTCTACAATACGTACAGCATGGCGCTAGGCAGAGTTTCGAATGATGTGATGCTGGAGAAGGCACAAAAGAGCGTGAGAGTTAAAATTTTAAAAGCCTGGTCCTCCCTGAGATCTTACCCCTAAATTGTGGAACAGAGCTAAGAGAAAAGAATATAAAAACATGTCTCAAGCAACCCATGAGCACATAGAGCTGAAATGTCCATCTGTGAATCTGAGTACCTACATATAAACGCCATTTCCTGGGACCTCATCGTTCCAGGAGGGCTTTCTGGAGGAAGCGAGCTTCAAATTTAAAAGGAAAGGAAAGTGGGCCGGAGGGTACTTTGTATCACTTCATGGGTACACTGTTCTCAGGAGGGTAATATCTCCATTTCACTGAGGAAGAAACTATGTGGACAGCTTCTGAGCATCCTACCTGGGACAGCCACACTTCATAACTGAATTTGTGAGCAATAGGACAGAAGCCCAAGGAATGATTTGAGTCTCTGCCAGCTGTTTGCATTTACTTTATTCCCCAGTTCATCACCTGGGTGGTTGTCCACAGTGGATTGAGTGTCTGGTCATTCTCAGTCTTCCATGAATGTCTGTAAAGGGCACCACAGTGTCCCGCTGGGCACTGGGGACTGCTCCTTCCCAAACATGCTCCAGAGACAGAGCCTGACCCAGAGCCTTCTCAAGGTCAGCAGGTTGGGGTGAGAAGAGCCCGGTTGGTTTGGGGGCCTGCTGGAGGTCTCAGGGGCTGTGCATACACACCTGTGACAGGAGAAGAAAACAAAACCTTCAAACCCACCCAAGGCCCCATTCTGGGTAAGCCGTCCCCCCAACTCCCCTCTCCAGTGGAGGAAGCAGGGATATGTGCTGGGGGGCATATGTTGTGAGTACAAACAGGCTAACGGCAGTATCTGTCCTGATGTCAATATACCCCAGAGTGGGGGGAGGGGCTGCCAGCTGGAGGGGAGAAGGCAGCTGCCTCCACCAGCACCTGACAGCCGCCCTGACCCCTGACTCAGCACCCATCAGGTAAGCGAGTGGGACAGGTACTACCTCCATCTGATAGGTGAGGCAAGCTGGCTCCGAGAGTCAAGGTCACATAAGGGGCCCGCCTAGAAGTCATAGTCTCCGTTCTCTCCGGGGCATCACGCCTTGGATCCCCCTAGATTCCCCCTGGTGTGGAAGTGGACCACAATACCCTCACGTATAGAAAGCTAATAAAAGGCAACATTTCTTGATCACTTTCCACTCGCCAGGCGCTCACTGAGCCCCTTTGGGGAATTAACTCGATGCTCAGTGCCTCCTTAAACCCGCTACACCCGCAGGGCAACTGAGGCAGAGAGCGTTGAAGTGACCGGCCCAGGGTCGTGCACCGCCCGGGCGGGGACTGGGGGGAGGCAGGCGGCGGACTCCCGCCTCGCGGCCCCGCGGGCCCGGCCCGGGCTGCCCATATAAGGCCGCGGCGCCCTGCAGCGTTTCCAGGCTCCATGGGGCACCCCGCGCCCGCGGCCTCCTGCGCGTCCAGGAATGTGTGGAATCTTCCTCCCCGGCTGCCGCCCGCCGCAGGGAGGGCTTCCCCTCCGGCGCGGGGCCCGCGATCAGCCCCCGAGCCAAGCCCCGGGCCCGCCCCGCCGCCCGCAGCAGCCGCCTGGCCGCTGGGGGGAGCGCGGCGCCTTCCGCAGCGGGACGCGGGGGCGGGCGGCGGGGCGCCCTCACCTGCCCCGGGCGGGGCGGGGAAGGCGGGGGAGGAGGCGGGGGAGGAGCTTGCGCGGGGCGGGCAGTCCCGGCCCGAAGTGAAACTCCGGGCACTTGCGGGAGCGCGGGGAGCGGGGACGGGCTGCGCGCCCTCGGGCCGGACGCGCCCCGGCGCCCATGGCGCTGAGCAAAGGGCTGCGGCTGCTCGGGCGGCTGGACGCCTCGGGGGAGTGCAGCGTCCTGCTGGAGGCGCGCGGCCGCGGGGACTGCCTGCTCTTCGAGGCCGGCACGGTGGCCACGCTCGGTGAGTACGACCCCGCCGCCGACCCGCGGGCTGGGGCTGCGCTCCCCTGGTCTCCCGTCCCGGGGGAGCGACGCCCGAGGCGAGGGCGCCTGCCGCGCCCAGAGAGGGGCATCTCCCGTCCCCGAGGTGACCAGCCCCGGCGGGGTGGGGGACGCGCCGAGACAGCTGGGGCGTGGGGGGCGCGCGCGGGCTGTGGGAATCCTGTTTGAATGAGGTGACCCCGGGGACGCCGGAGTGGCCCTCGGGCTGGGCCCAGGGCGCGGCGGCCCCCAGCTCCTCCTGGGGGGCTGCCCTCTCCGCGCCCGCCGGTGGTTGCGTTCTTGGAGAGCGGGTGTGGCCCTTAACGCCCCGCGCTCCGCCGGGACACGTTGGAGATTCACCGCGATCCCAGGGGATTGACTTAAGAACCGCCCGGTCCTGTGCCTGGTGCTCGGTTTCCTTTGCACCTGTTGATGAAACCAGTGATCGCCTGATTGCCCGTTGGTTTGTGCTGGCTAGCTTCTGTTCCGGAGGGACTAGGGGACACAAGCACGGGAACATAGACCCCGGAGAAACCTCTGATCGTACCTCTATTTGCCTCACGTAGATATTTGGGCGAGAAGTGTCAGTTCTGCAAAGTGCGGAACTTGTAAGCAAACGTGCTAGCCGGTGACCCTGCCTTTATGCTTGATGTATTTGAAGTTAGACGACCCAAGCCAGTACATTTCATGTCGGTGCTTCAGGAAGTGTGGAGACTGGCTTTGTGCCAAGGACTTTAGTGATGATCTCATTTAACTTTCACAATTGCGCCAAAGAGCTACTATTATCCCCATGTTATAGATGAGTAGACTGGGGCCTGCAGAGACTGTGAGACTTGCTTAAGGTGACACACCTCTACCTGAGTCCTGTGCTGCGTTTTCAAAGATTTATTTATGGGGTGGGGGTGGCAGAAGGGGAGAGAGAGAATCTCAAGTCGACTCCCAGCCGCTGGTGGGACTTGTTCTCACACCCCGGGATCATGACCTGAGCTGAAACCAAGAACCAGGGGCTTAACCCGCTGAGTATGTTGTGTTTCATACAATGCATGGCTTCCTTGGTGTCACCAGCCAGTCACCCTATCCCCTGTTTTGTGGCTAACTTCACCGGGAAGGCCAAAGTGAGCAAAATCAGGTGAGATTGTTAGAACTTTGAACTTGAACACTGGAGAGTAGGCTTCCCGGGGGTGTCCTGCTGTATCATCTTACCTTGTTGCTCCTAAATGAACTTAAGCGAGGAAGGTCACTGTCCTTTAGGTTCTGGATGACCAGTGCCCTCACTCCCACAACACTTTACAAATGTTTCCAAGTCTTTTAGCGCCCAGCGTGGGTATGCATGGATTCTTCAATTAGGATATACATCCTGTAAGAGTCCTCTCTTCTACTGCAGTTTCCCTATAATCATTTCATTAGCATACAGTTATCGGGCTTGTTTGCAGTGGCCTGGTTACCGAAACAATGTCTCCAGTATTGTCAGTACCGTAGTGTGCCTCTGATCCTTGATTAAATTATTGTCAGATTTCTCTGGCCTGTGCTCTGTCCTGAAAAAATCCAAGTTTGGTCATTTGCTAAGGTCTTGAAAGAAAACCACAGAAATTTCCATTCCATTTTAGATGTCTACTTCATACCACATTTATCAGAGCTGAGAGATTTATTTCATGGTACAAAAATACTCCTTCATCAAAGAGATTAAAATGTCCATCACGTGGATTATGGCGACGCGAAACAAGGTCCGTGCGCATTTAAGAGTTCTTTTGAAGCCATTTGGAGAAAAAGACTTTATTTTTTCAGAAGAGGAGACTTTAAAATGATGGATGAAAAGAATAAAATGCACATTTTCCATTTGGAAATTCAGTTCGGGCTGCAATGTGTGTATTTCTGTGGGGTTTCCAGAGCCCTGGATTCTAGTACAGAGGGTAGCATGGAAGGCGTTGGCTGGTCTTCAACTCATGTGCAGCCCACATTTGTCACTTAACCTAGCAGTCATTTTTCAGTAGAACTTAGGCTCGGATACTTAATTCTTCAAGTCTGCTTTTCTTCAGGGAAGTGAAACTATTTTTAAAAAGCAGCTGTCCCGCCCTTGGTGGCGTTGCTATCCGGGTGGGGGCCGGGCGGGGATTATCCAAGCCTCCTGTTACTAGAAAGTTGTTGTTTGAGGCTTTTCAAGTATCCTAAACGCGCCGCATTTGGATAGAATGATGCTGAATTTGAAATCCCGTCTGTGCTTCAGAGGGCTGGCTTCTTGGCTTGCCTTTCCTTGACAAGGAAAAGTGGACTTTCATTTTTTTCCCCCGGAAGATTCCAGTGTCTGCTCTTGCCAGGGGCCAGATATCTGTGGAAGCCAGCGTAGCTGGCGTGAGGATCCTGACCACTCACCCTTTCCATGAGGTTCGAGCTGGGGGGTGGGGTGAGGGTGTGGGGGCAGCTTCCTCTCCCTTGAGCTGCGGTCTCCGCTGATGGGTCTCCCCTGGAGGAACGAGAGGCCAGGGTCACTTACGTGGATGGTTTATGACCACGTGGGTGGGGTGGTTCCCCCCAGCCCGGGAATGTTCCTCCCACTCCGTCCTGCTCTGAGGCTGATTTATGCTGCTGCTTTTAGGGGGAGCCGCGGGAGAGCCAGCATGAGCGGCTGCAGGACAGCTCTTCAAGGGACACGTTAGCCCATAAGGATCCACACTTGAAAGGGCCTCTCTCGGCCAGTCCGGGGCTCACAAACAAAGGCTTTGCATTTGCAGGCGGTGCTCAGAGGCAGTCCGGGGCTTGAGCTGGGCTGTGAGTTCAGGAGAAGCTGGTGATGCTTGGCTGGGCTGTGGCTGGGCGCCGTCCCTCTGTTCGTTCCGCGGTGACTCTGGGGACCGTCTCCACGCCAGGCCATGGAGCCTGCCAGCGGGAAGGTTGCTGAGGGAATACTTCTAAATTCCTGCTTCTGAAGGAATTAGGTTGAGAGTCTATCTTCAGAGTAGTTCAGAGAACAGCGATTCGGAAGCAGAAAAGCCAAACACGGTGGCACCAATTACAAAAGGTTGTGTTACGTTTTCTCGTTTTCTCGGTGACCTGATTCCAAGGCAGGAGGCTTTCCAAGCACAGGTGTGAAGCCATGGCATAGCATAGCTGGGGAACAGCTCCCCGTGGCCGGCAACCCACAGTTAGCACAGATGTTCTTTTATTTTAAAGTACTTTTATTTAAAAGTACTTGCTGGCTTTCCTTTCGTCTCTCTTAGACTCGGTGTGGACCAGGGGAAGGGAACTGTGCCTATTGTCCACGGATTTCATTTTTAGAACGAGCACGGATCCTCCAAGTCCAGCCTTCTCCAGACAGCCCCCAGGGCGGGCGGCCGCCGGTGCGTTAGCACAGCTGTTTGTGAGCGAGGGCAGCCCGGCCTCTTTCCCCCAGCCACACGTGCTGTTGCACAGGGAGCCGGGGCCATGGGGGGTTGGGTGGCAAGGAGGCCTGGGAGACTTAATTAACTTAATAGTGAGTGTCCCTAAATTACGCTGAGCTTCTGGGGGGAAAGTTTCTGTGTAAACACCGGGCCTGGGCTTTCCCAGCCGATGTTTATATAAAGGCCACAATATCCTGCTTTGTTTGATTTGCTGAAATGGCCACGGAGCCCAGCAAGGCTTCTCGCTGTGGCCTTGCTCACTTTCCCCGTCTTTGCGGCCCAGAATCAGTCGGTCGGGGCCATCAGGTGTGCCTGCTTCAGGGCACCTGAGAGAATCCGTGAGTGGCCAGGTTATCCGCTCTCTGGGCGGAGACTGCAGGGACATGTGGCGCCAGGCAGGGGCTCCGGGCTGCTGACTTGGGACACCTGGGCAGCCCCCACATGTCGGCCTCCACGGCTCATGCACGGGTCCTTCTTCCTACTTGGGGGTAAGCTCCGCAAGGGAGTCACGAAAACGCAAACAGGGTGACTGTGTACTTCTGCCTGTCGTTTGCGTACCCGCTGGTAGAAGTGCGATGTCCCGTCTTGCCAGGCTGCTGTGACTCAGACACCTTTCCCGTAACCCTTAAGTGTGAACATTTCCCAGTGTAGGAAAGTAGAAGGAAAAACGAATCCCCATACCTGTCACTCAACATTGGTATCTGTCAATATATTTCAATTCTGTGGCACTTGTCCCTGTATTTTTTAAAGATTTTTAAAAATTTTTTATTTGAGAGAGAGAGAGCGGGAACATGGGTGGACAGGGGAGGGGCAGAGGAAGAGGGAGAAGCAGGTGCCCAGCTGAGCAGGGAATCCTATATGGGGCTTGATCCCAGGACCCTGGGCTCATGACCTGAGCCAAAGGCAGATGCTTAACCAGCTGAGCCACCCAGGCACCCCTGTTCCTGTATTTTTTACGAGAAATGAATCTCCTAAAATTTAGTTGGTTCAATGCCAAGCAAGATTTTAATGTATTTGACTTGGCGTCCCCCCCGCCGACCCCGATTGCATTTGTGTCTGTGTGTTTAAGTTCAAAGTTTACTTGACAGACTGAGATGTAGCCAGCAACAGAGATGGTGGTGTGAATTGATTCTGAGATTCTGACCAAGATACCTTTTTTTTTAAGATTTATTATTTATTTGTTTATTTATTTATTTTGGAGAGGGGCGGGGCGGCAGAGGGAAAGGGAAAGAAGCAGACCCCACTGAGCAGAGAGCCTGATACCACAATCCTGAGATCCAGAGATGGCGACCCGAGGTCATGACCTGAGCCAAATCAGGAATTCCCAGTGTAACCAAATGTGCCCACAGATGGCCCCTCTGGCCAGGCACATTTTTAAAAACAAAGTGACCACATGGGAAGAGTAAACCTTTGGCTGAAGAGCAGGACATCCCCACCATGGGATGGCCCTGATGGGCTCACAAGGAGACAGCCTGAGCTCTTTGGTGGCACTGCCCTAGATCATGGCTGGAGGGGGCCTGGCCCGTGCCTCTCATTGAAATGAGGAGTTGGGCTAAGGGGCCATGTCCCCCTGTCATCTGCAGTCCCCTCTCTGGACCTCACT